TCTCTCTCTCTCTCTCTCTCTCCCTCTCTCCTCACAGGTCTTCATTTCGCTCAACTGGGGAACTTAGAGGTCATATGTGTTAATGCAGATGAGTGTACAGCCGGTGCCCCACCCTGTGGAAGTGCCCCACCCTCTCTCTCTCTCTCTCTCTCTCCCCTCCCCCTCTCTGTCTCCCCTCCCCCTCTCTCTCTCCCTCCCCCTTTCTCTCTCCCCTCCCCCTCTCTCTCTCTCCCTCAGACATAGATGAGTGTAATGTAACCGCTGGTATCTGTGGAGTGAACGGGACCTGTGAGAACCAGAAGGAAGCTACAGTTGTCTCTGCCACCCATGGACACAGTAACTATGGCAACAAACAGGTTAGGTGCTCAGGTGAGGGCAGAATCTGGTACCATGATGCACTGCTTCCCACGATATGGTACACTAAGGTACGATAACTTTGTCTGTCTTAGAAGAGGAACAAGAACAGGGTTCCTATTTTAACAGTCTTCCGTTACGTCTATATCTAACATAACATAACATATGCCATCTAGCAGACGCTTTTATTCAAAAGAGACTTACAGCAAGGGAGTGGATACATTTTCATAAGCGTGGCCCCAGCGCGAATCGAACCCACAACCCTTGGCAATGCTCTACCAACTGAGCCCCACAGGACCACAAGACTGTCTAGACCAGGGGAGTCAAACATACGACCCATTAAACAATCTCAATCAACATTGAAATGATTCAAATTAAACCATAACAGTATAGAAATGATAATGGACCTACATGTATGTTATTTCTAATCTGTCCAGTTGTTTAACTGTCATCCAAATTCAATTCTTAAATTTAAGTGCGGCCTCCGGACTTCGTTGAAGGCCGAATGCGGCCCGCTTGGCAAAATGAGTTTGACACCCCTGATCTAGACTGTTAGAGAAGTCACCACCCTCACTGATCCCAATGCTACTTCCCCAAACAGAGGTTACTGCTGTGGTACTACAAACCGCCCCATAAGGACAGGTCTAGGTTCAGTTTTACTGTGTAAGCCTGGATAATGATGATCAGTAAGGGACTATGTAAACTGATCTGAGTGTGGGGCTTATATTACAGTAGATACCGTTATTCCACTGGCATCTTCCTCTTTCTAGTGCTGTGGCCTGAATGGCACCCTATTCCCTATATAGTGCACTACATTAGACCAGGGCCTATAGAGCGCTATATAGTAGGGTGTTGTTTGGGATGCGTGCTAGGATGGTTACCATGGTAACATTTCAGCACTAGTGTGCTGTGGGTTTCTGGGTGTTTTAATCTCCACCTCGACTTCCTCTCTGTCTCATGTCTTCACTGTTATCTTAGTTAGTTGGTATCTGATGGTAAACATGGTTACCCATGGCAACAACCTGGATGTACTAGGAGTATGATAAGGATGTCACAGTTTTAATTTGTATGTGTTGTGTTGTGTTGTTGTGCAGGTGGTGTGTTGTTGTGTGTTGTGGTATGTAGTGTTGTGGTGTGTTGTGTTGTTGTTGTGGTGTGGTGTATTGTGTTTGTTGTGTGGGGGTTTTGGTGTTGGGTGGTAGTGGGGGTGGTGTTGTTTTGGGTTGTGGTTGGTGTGTTTGTTGTCAGGTGGTGTGCTATGTTGTTGCACAGGGTGTGTTGTGTTGTTGTACAGGTGGTGTGTTGTGTTGTTGTAGCAGGTGGTGTGTTGTGTTGTTGTACAGGTGTTGTGTTGTGTTGTTGTACAGGTGGTGTGTTGTGTTGTTGTGCAGGTGGTGTGTTGTGTTGTTGACAGGTGGTTGTTTTTTGTTGTTGGCAGGTGGTTGTTTTTTTTTGTTTTACATGGTTTTGTTTTTTTTTACAGGGGTTTGTGTTTTTTTTTGGGTACAGGGGTTTTGTTGTGTTTTTTGTCATTTTTTTGTTTGTTTGTTTCAGGGGTTTATTGTGTTGTTGTACAGGTGGTGTGTTGTGTTGTTGTGCAGGTGGTGTGTTGTTTTGTTGTTACCTGGTTGTGTGTTGTGTTGTGTTGTTGTACAGGTGGTGTGTTGTGGTGTGTTGTTGTGTGTGGTGTAGTGGTGTGGTGTTGTGGTGTGTTGTGTTTTGTTGTGTTGTGTTGTTGTGTTGTGTTGTGTCGATCCAGGTGTGATGGTAGCGTTTTGTGTTTCCTTTAGTACTGACCTGTGACCAGTTCAAAGCGGATGAGACTCCTGGACAGGTGAGTTCTAAACCCTGACACCTGATGTCACTCATAATGACTGGCAGTGAACAGTCAGTAACTAACCATAACATTTATAGAATACGGCAGTAGGCAGTCAGTAAAATAACCATAACATTTATAGAATACGGCAGTAGGCAGTCAGTAAAATAACCATAACATTTATAGAATACGGCAGTGAGCAGTCAGTAAACTAACCATAACATTTATAGAATACGGCAGTAGGCAGTCAGTAAAATAACCATAACATTTATAGAATACGGCAGTGAACAGTCAGTAAACTAACCATAACATTTATAGAATACGGCAGTGAGCAGTCAGTAAACTAACCATAACATTTATAGAATACGGCAGTGAGCAGTCAGTAAACTAACCATAACATTTATAGAATACGGCAGTGAACAGTCAGTAAACTAACCATAACATTTATAGAATACGGCAGTAGGCAGTCAGTAAAATAACCATAACATTTATAGAATACGGCAGTAGGCAGTCAGTAAAATAACCATAACATTTATAGAATAGGCAGTAGGCAGTCGTAAACTACCATAACATTTATAGATACGGCAGTGACAGTCGTAAACTAACCATAACATTTATAGAATACGGCAGTGAGCAGTCAGTAAACTAACCATAACATTTATAGAATACGGCAGTGAACAGTCAGTAAACTAACCATAACATTTATAGAATACGGCAGTGAACAGTCAGTAAAATAACCATAACATTTATAGAATACGGCAGTAGGCAGTCAGTAAAATAACCATAACATTATAAATATGGCTAGGATCAGTACAATATAACCAAAAATTTGAGAATACGGCAGTGAGCAGTCAGTAAATTAACCATAACATTTCAAATACTGTAGATATTGTCCAATAGGTCTATGACTTATAATGAGTTTTACGTTCTCTCTCTCTCTCACACTTTCTCTCTCTCTCTCTCTCTCTCTCCTATCTCTAGGACTACTTTAGAAACAAGAGTTTTAATTAATACTTTTAAGTACTATCTCCTGGGAATACAATGTTTGTCTTGCTGAACATGTTTTTACCCACATCGATTCTATTAAATGATCTCCTCTCTCTCAGACTGTCCCAGGTTTAGCTGGTCTCCTGTCTCTGATGAGGAACAACTGTCTGGCGTTGAGTAACTCTGGGGACGCAGCCGGAGGGAGACTGACTGGAGAGATACTACTGGAGGTAAACCACACACACACACACACACACACACACACACACACACACACACACACATACACACACACACACAAAAGACGCAATAGTGCACGCATAAACAGCATACGCACACACACCTCGTTCACTCACTTCCTGTTTCCTCTTTCTACTTCCTGTGTGTAGAATGTCTTCACAGAGATAAACGGCCTCATGTCTCACGGTATCCTAAGCAACAGGGAGGTGAGTGGGTTTTGCTAGGTGCCGTGGAGGATGCCTTGAGCCTCATCGGGCCACAGCTTAGAGACAATCCACACCACCAATGGAGACAGACCATACAGGTAACACCACACACACACACACACACATGAACATGAACACACACACACACACATGAACATGAACACACACACACACACACATGAACATGAACACCCACACACACATATACACACACACACACACACACACACACATCCCCCTTCACCTTACTCCTTGTCTTATACACAGAGGCGGAGCTTGCAGTTAGGAGGGGACAGACTCGCCCACTGGGCCAATCAGCCTGGCCAATGAACCCAAAACTCGACTGGGCATCAGTGGGGGACAGCCACCGCAACGTGACTACCCATAGGCTACTCTTTAATCATCACCCCATCACCAATATCTAAACTTACCTTTTAGGGCCATAACTTTCCAAAAAAAA